TATGTGAGTAACATGCTTTTCCAAGATGATAAACCTCTTCAAGGTCAGTTTTCTTTAGTGGGTTTCGTATTTATGAATTTTAAGTACTTAAGATATATGTTTTCGACTTCTAGATAAGGAAGAAATAGGTAAGTGCAATAATGTGATCGACTAACTCACTTGTGATTAAGGATGGGCAAAATACCCATGGGTTTGGATAACCGTGGTTATCCGTCCATTTAAAGTTCATGGTTACGATTATGGGTAACCGTTTAGACGAACAATGGTTATCGGTATAACCGTTTATCTGTGAAATTTAAATGGGTAGTTATGGGTATTACCAACGGTTATAACAAGTATCCATCGGTTATGGGTATTACCTGCGGTTAAAACGGGTATCCATTTACCCATTTAATTTAATATATGTAAAATTAAAAAAAAAAAAAAATTAAACTTTCAATCTCTCTGAACTCAATTTCTCAAACGTCCCATCCTCTACTCATATCTCCCTCCTCGTTGCCCTCTATCTCATTTCTGCCGCTCATCTATCTTTCATCTGCGGACTCAGAGTTGAGAGAATTCACTCTAGTAGGTTTCTACAGAGGTTATGAGGCAATGAAAGTTTAGTTTTTTGATATTTGTTTGTCCATTGACTCAATCGGAACAATTGGATTGTATAAGTGAGGGCTTAGTGGTGATTCAAACTGGAGTGACATCTTTGTTTGTCAAATTTGTTAGTTTAATGTTATTCATCTGAGGATCATATACTTAATGTTTAATCTCGTCTATGTTCTACAATGCGAAATTAGTATGTAGGGCCTAGTAAGTTCTTACAGGAGTATCAGTGTTTGTAAGATTTGTTGTTTTAGTTTAATACATCTGGGCATCGTATACAATTTTCAATCTCATCAGTGTTATACAGTGCCACAATTTGCCTCTATGCAAATGGATCCATTGGTGTTCGAAAGTGTTTAGTTTTGGAATGTTTTGGAGCTTTAAATCATCTAGTACTCAAGATAATGACTACTTTTTGTTTTTAAAAGCTTTACTTTGTAATCATATGGATTATAATTAAAGACTTGCTTGGGTGTAACAGAAAAATATAGTTTGTAAACTATTATTTCAATTATTAGAATTATATGAGGAATTAAATGATTAAAATAGGGAAATGCATGCTAACATGTACCTATAACGGTGTTTAATTGTTAGAAAACGAAAATCATGACAAATTTTTCTTTTTTAATTTTCAAGTTGTTAAAAAAAAACGTGTACACGAGTAAAAAAAGGGATAATGGGTAAAAAAAGGTCCAACGACTTCAAAAACGGGTAAATGGTTATGGTTAAATTGGTAAACGGTTATGGTTAAATTGGTAAACGGTTATGGTTAAATTGGTAAACAATTATGGTTAAATGGGTACATGGTTATGGGTATGGTTAACCGTTTATAAACGGTTATGGGTATGAGTATAATTGTTTATGCAATTACCCAACGGGTAAACGGTTATGCGGGTATGAGCATAAATGGTTATGGGTAAATAACCGCGGTTACCTGTCCACCATAACCGTTACGTATCCCTACTTGTCGAAACATAGGTACTTCTCTTCTGGGAAGCTCTCTAAGGATATCTTTCAAACCTAATAGAATGAAAAAACAATGTTCAAGCAACAGAAGCAAAATGTCTAATTCGCCTCCCCTTTTACCTGCTTAATGTTATCAAACTCTAGAGTAAAAAACGGTTTTGCATACCTGCTGCTGCTTGTCTGTCAACCTTATAAGCTGAGCGAATCACACTTTGGATTTGTTTCCCTGTTTGTCTGCAAATAGAAATTTGAACATCCCGAATCAGAAAAAACCCCAATTGTTCAACCCAAATTTCAAATTAATCATCTAAAATAGTGAATGAGGAGGAGACCCATACTTGAAATCTCAAAGGTTATTCGTGATGGCCTGTGATTTGGCTGGTGCGAAGCTTTGTTCGTGGGAGATGATGTGCGTCTGTGTCGCAAGGAAGAGGCGGGAACCAGAAAAGAAAGGGGAAAAAGAAAGATTATATCAGCTCTGTATATCAGCTATTTAATCTTAACCACCCATTTCATCCAATGGTCAGGAGAAGGCTCCCCATTTTTTTGAAAAAAATGGAGATCCCTCCCCTTAAGGTTGTATTCATTTAATTATGTATTTAAAACAATTATGAATAATAACGGTCATGACAACTCTTAAAATGGGTGGAGTTGTACTAGAACAGTAGCCCCCTTTGCCATGGTACGATGGGTGGAAGTGCTCTTAGAAAAAATATACATACAAACACATGCACTATTATGAAATTCTCTTTCAATCAAAGAGGGATATACCACTTTTAATTACATGAGCTTAATAACTTACTTCCAAAACTAAGAGTGAAATAATAATCTTTCACTTACCTACTTTCCCTCGCACCCAAAATATTCACTTATACTATTACAACAATAACTTCCTTTGCACCTGCATAACATATATATATGTGGAAGATACTAGTTACATAGAAGAGTAATACTGTCAAAATTACTAAATCTAATATCATATAACTGTTGGATTAAATGATAGTTATTTTAGTGTTTTTTTCATAGAAACGTAATCATTCATTTTCTTCACTATAAATAACTATCTTGATAATTACGAAAATATCTATATTTCAGTTCATCATTCATAGACTATCCTTGAAAAAAGTTACGTAATGAAAACTATAAGAAAGTGTGTCAAAATGTATGTTCCCTGATATGACTCTTCTTTATCTGATCGATCTTTACATATAGACTTAATATGAGATTGATTCATAGCCAAATTAATATAACAATGTGTTCTGGACATGGACTCAATATGAGTTTGATGCACTCCGGAATCTGTACAAACTCACTCAAATATTAAACAAATACCAACCCTAAGAATCTTTGTATTCCGTACTTGTTTAATTCCCCCCAGACTTTGTAATTCCAAATATTAACTTAACTGATGGCAGAGTACTGCAACTTGTCTTGTCTCTTGCAAGAAAATGAGACATGTACAAGCACAGTTGTACGACGGCATGTGCAGATTCTTCGTCATGGTAGGCATGCGAGGGTTGGCCTCTACGAAGCTGAAGGGATCTACTTTTTTTAACCGTGCATGGTTAAAGCTGGCTGTGTTGGGTTTTACGACTTAAAATTAGGATAATGCAAAGAATTAGGTTTGTGTTACCTATTTAGTTTTGGTGTCTTATTTGAGTTTGGATTTTGACTTCTTAGTTGGTTTCCTTGGTAAAGAGATTTTGTTAATTATCTATTTGATTAGGATTTGTATTTACTTATGTGATTCGAGTGCACATCGTCCTCTCATGTCGTCCGGGCCTTCTTGCGCCTGCAGATTCTCCAAAGTCAGTGGCGGCATGCTTTTCAAGTCCTTTCTCACATCTCATGGATTTGCACAACAGTTTCGCTGTCCACATTGGGTTGTAGTAGTGTAAGATTGAATGAAAAGAATATTTATTGAGCATACGCTTGTAGGGTTACCAATTGTAACTTAGTAAATAAATGATTCTTTCATTCTTTATATTGTAGATAGGCTAGCCGTCTGTGATCTTTTTCTTCCCTTTAGTTTGTAAACAAATAGTTTTGTCAAAAGCTTAGTGATCGATACAAACCTTTGAATTTGTTCAGAAAATACGGCAAAATGAAATCAGATGGCAAAGACATATGACATTGTGTGAGATACCATAATTATGCTATAGCCAATTCCTCCTAATCTTAAAATAGAATATTGTTGTATCAAATATGGTTAGCCTATTGTTGAATGTTCTTAACACACTTGCCAATTTTCAAACTTTCAAGCTTGACTTACTAAACCACTAAAACCAAACGAAGATGAAACACACGTACGCAAAGATGAAGAACATGTAACCATCATCGCTATACAATGCGATTTTCTTTAAACAACAACCTAGCATTAATTCACCTCTTGGCTTTTTTTTCATAAACGAAACAATTTTAAACATATAAACATGGAATAAGAATAAAAATTAAGAACAAAACTCTATTTCCTTTACAAAGAAAAAAGAGCATCAATGAACAAGCATTTTAATTATAGATTTATGAATAAAGGTCTGTTAAATCCCCAGAGACTCTTTAGAATTATACATAAGTATTTGGGATACCATAACTGTTAGCATAAACACAACACCAGGATCATGCAAAGCAAGTTACCGTGATCAAAACACAGAACCATAAATCATAAAGCAATGCATAGAGAGAAAACATGCCCGCAGAAAAGTTCGAAGCTGCTGCCATGTCTGATTTCTGCAGCAAAGTCGTGGTGAACCTTCTCCTCTCTTCAGTGAACGAGATTCTCAACTAATAATAGGTCTTAGTCTTATATTGAGTATACACTGAGAGCAGAGACCACCATATATATACTACATAATCCACGCCAAATTCTACAAGGATTTTCCTATTAAAATCCATATAGAAAACTAATTCCTTCCAAATAGTAGTTCAGTCATAATATGGATTCACAAATCCATTCTCAACAAGGCTTCCTACTTAATCTATAATCCTATAGCCAAGTTTACAGGTCATACTCATGCTCATATTCTTACAATAACACACACCCCTCACAAAATATGAGACATTTGTTCCTCACATTATGGAAATCAACACATTGTTGTTAGCTTGAATATATTAATATTAAAATAGCATGTGAACTAGCTCGCTTTTTAAGTCTAGTATTTCTATTACCAAAATAGCCCGTCTAGTAGTAATGGAGAGAGAGAGAGAGAGAGAGAGAGAGAGAGAGAGAGATTCTCACTGGTTGGCACTTGAAACTCACTGGTGCCCTCCCCTCTATATATGCCCACGCCGGGGGAAGTGTTTAAGCAACGAGCTTGTACACTTAGTTTACTTTATTATTCAAGGCAGGCTTGATCGAACTGCTAGCTCTAGCAACTTGCTTGCTGTCCTAGTTGATCAAACTCTAGGGCCAACGTTCATTTAGCTCCCTCCCTCTATTCACCATGGCCTTGAACAAGTTAACCTTTATTACTTGCTCATTCCTAGTTACCCTACTCATCTTAAACTGGGAAATTCAGTCTATTGATGCAAGGTATTTGAAATCAAGGAGTAGTGAACTCCAAAACCTCCCAATTAACAACAAAACCCACGAAAACAAAACGGAGGATAATGCAGGTCACAAAAGTGACTTGCATGGTAAGAGCTCTACTGAAGCATCATTAGTTGTATCTCCGCCTCCACCACAAAGTGGTCAGGTTGGTGGTTCAGCACAGCCACCACCATCACCAGCGCATGCCGTAGATGACTTCAGGCCCACAGCTCCAGGTCACAGCCCCGGCGTTGGACATTCTCTACAGAATTAGGGAATCTGTAATCTATCCCCCTTATAGGTGTTTACGCTCTTGAAGATGCCTATTTGTTATATGTGGGTAATCTCGCAAGCACATGTTTTCGTATATGTAATTTATGATCAGTATGTGGCCATTAGTTTTCTAGTATCTTGTGAACTCATTTATGTAGTAAATGTAAAAGGGCCTACTAAAGTGTGTATAAAGATTTGTATTAAGACGCAGTAGTGCTGAATTGATGTAATTTGTAGTTGATTACCTGTTTAATTCTCAATGAAATTTCTTGTTTAATTTCAAATTTTTTCTTGTTACTAATTAGCACAAAGGAATTGAGGTACTAAATAATTTTTTTGTTATATCAGATGGTTTTGAACCATGAATTTAGCCTACTCCTAATCATCATCCTACAGTCACCCTTACCCCTCGACTAACTCGGGTAGCTTAACTGAAATACTGGATTATTGCGATGATACCATGTTCCTTTTTTGTTCAGGCTGTACCATATTCCATGCCCTAAAGGTTTGGACGTAATAGAAAGGGAAAAAAATAAATAAAAAGCATATTTGCTATGACATAAATTACCATACACATGCCTATATATAGATAATATATCACATTGGACAAGGAACTGAATTATATCAGGGGATCATAGAGCTTTGTGTATCCAAAGCGCTTGATCATTACCTTTATATATTATAGACTTTGTTTTCATAAATAAAAATTGAAGGTTGAAAAATATTAAATCCTCAAAGTAAAATGATGTAGGACGCCCCACCATTAAAATTCTACATGTTTCAGTAGTTTTGATGACCTATATCTGTTTCGATGTATTATGTTAACCAACTTAAAACGTGAATGGAAGTAATGTTAAGCATGTAAAACCTCGTTGGTATTCCGTAATTCTATTGAGAAGAATATATATTGGTTATATGTATCTCACGTCATACTTCCAGAAATCTTGGTCCTCGATCTACAGCACTCAGTTAGGGTTAGATCCCTTAACTCGAACCGTGATCAAAGTCTGTGTTGAGAATATAAGTTGTTCGTAGTCACTTACCAAGCCTGTGCTTACCAGAGTTACAATAGGCAAGAGCCACAAGAGAAACTTAATCCAACTAGGTCAAAACTATATCTGTGGAGGGTGGAAACACTCCGGTTGAATGATCTATTGATCCATGAGCCAATTGGACGATACTTATTGTTTCACTTAACCAAGATATATCGCTCTTTCAACCCCAATTCCCCAAAAACTACAAAATAAATACTTAAAAAAATCGTAATGAAATGTTCGAGCTAGGGTTTGCTAAAGAAAGGAATGTGCATGAAAATAATAGACCCTTTGTAGATGTATAAAGTTTCAGTTTGTTGGGAGACTTTCAGGTTAAGGTGGATTTGGGCTTTGAGAACGTCCTCTTGTCTCCCTTGGTTCGGTTTCGTACCAAGTGCCGGAATATCTCAAAAGAGTTAGCTTGTCTTAGAAAATATCCCGGTTGGATCAACGACTCAAAGATAACATGATTTAGGCAAATAATGACTTGATCAAGAGAAGTTGTTAGAACCAATCAAATGTCAAGTGTATAATATATAACAATTTGCACAATTTTATTACAAATGGAAAAACTCAACAAAAAATACAATATATTATAACATAAACACTTAATGAAATTATATATAAAATCACAAATCACTGACTTGTTCCTTGAAGATAGAAGCTTGCAGAAGCAATCTCCTAAGACAGAAATTCATCCCTACACCAGTGCAGCAGTTCAATGGACATCTATCTTGCAGGATACAACTATCTAATCCAAGTTCTTGCACTTGAACTCGGATTCTTGGCGAATTGGTTGTGGTGTTTCTCTGTGAAGTGTGAAGGATTCGATGGAAAAATTGTTCTTCTTGTTTCTGATCCTACAGCCATCGTAAATGAGCAGTTGAAACCGTTTATATTTATCTTTAAGAACGGTTACAACAGTTCATGTGATCAGTTTTATCCTTTCAGAAAAAACTGAATGCAAAAATCAAAAATGTAAAAATGATACTTGGGTTTTTCGTCCATCCGAGCCCAAGAGCCCCAAGGCCCAAGACCATCTTTGACATTTAATATATGCACCCAAACCCTCCAAGTCTAAGGCCCAAGGTCCATGGCTTTGGTTCAATTCATTTCAAACTATAAGTGAGTGAACTCACTTATAAAGCAGAAGTTATACAACTGTTTGGGCGATGTGGGACTTGGAGTCCCATATAAAACTCAAGTTCCAACAATACCCCACATTTTCTATTCAAACTCTAGCAATACCCCACATTTGAATTGAAAATAAGATACTAGCTAAATTAGTAATGTCTTTCCAGATAACTTAGATATGCTACGCATCGGGATAGGTGTCTTTTGGACTTGAACCTTCTCTAGTGAGTACTTATTGGTTTTACCTAATGAAGCAGTGAATTTACTATCTTGAACTGATCATTCTTAGTAGTAAAATTAAAACAATAAGTATCACACATATCACATCTTGACACACGTCAATTTATACGATTGTGTTCATTTTGGTCTCGAACATATCCTGATTTCATGAGACCTTTAGAGAATTGTAGCCATACCAATTCTCAAAGATGCGACCCCACATCAATCTCATATAGGTAATGCTAATAAAGAATATCCAGTTCTATTCATCTTAATCATAAGACTTTAGCATTATTAAGAATAGTTATTCACCCTCTTCGTCTTACAGGCAACATACTATTTTCCATCATAAGAATGAGTAAAGATTGTGTGTTTCTTACTTTGAGTTTTCCTCAACTAGTTTGCCTATTGAACCTAGACCATGGGATCTCCAATTAGCTAGGTTAGGTTTTCGTCAAGTTATAACTCATTGAGTTGGCTTTAAACCTATTCCCCTCGATGTAAATGCCACTTGATCCTTGGATAGGCCTTTTGTCAAAGGATCGGCAATATTCTCCTTAGATTTAATATAATAAATGGAAATAGTTCCATTCTTGAGTAGTTGTCTAATGGTTTTATGTCGTCGCCTTATATGTCTTGACTTCCCATTATATTCAGCGTTTTTGGCTCGACCATGTGCAGCCATGCTATCACAATGTATACATATTGCAGTCACAGGCTTGGGCCATAATGGAATATTTTCCAGAAAATGTTTAAGTCATTCAGCTTCATCAACAGCTGTATCTAAGGCTATAAACTCTGATTCCATTGTCGAATGTGCTATACATGTTTGCTTGGATGATTTCCATGACACAGCTGCTCCACTAAGTGTAAATACATATCCACTTGTGGATTTACTGTCTGTGCTCCCTGAAATCCAATTTGCATCACTATATCCTTCTAAAATTGGGGGATATTGAGTGTAATGCAAACCATAGTTCATTGTATGCTTTAAGTATCTTAATACCCTTATTAAAGCATTCCAATGATCTCTTCTAGGATTACTTGAATACCTACTTAGTCGGCTTATTGAATAAGCAATATCAGGTCTTGTACAATTCATAATGTACATCAAGCAACCTATAACTTGGGTATACTCCAATTGAGATACGCTCTCTTCTTCGTTTTTAGTAAGTTTATGAATGGGATCAAAAGGAGTTACTACAGGTTTACAATCATAATGTCCAAACCTTTTTAGAACCTTTTCCACATAATGTGATTGAGTTAGGACATATCCATCTGAATTCCTTAGAATTCGAACTCCAAGAATCACATCAGCTAATCCCATATCTTTCATATCAAAACTAGAATTTATCATTTTCTTTGTGGAGTTAATCACATCTTTGTTTGTTCCCATTATAAGCATGTCATCAACATATAGACATACAATAACACAAGCATTTTTCGTTTTCTTAACATAAATGCATTTATCACTTTCATTGATTACAAATCCATTCGTAATCATATTATGATCGAATTTTTCATGCCATTGCTTAGGCGCTTGTTTGAGTCCACATAATGACTTAATCAACTTGCAAACTTTCTTTTCTTGACCTTTGACAATGAAACCTTCAGGTTGACCCATATATATTTCTTCGTCTAATTCACAATTTAGAAATGCAGTCTTGACATCCATTTGATGTATCTCAAGATTGTACATAGACGCTATAGCTATTAATAACCTTATAGATGTTATTCTAGCTATTGGTGAATAAGTGTCAAAGTAGTCAAGTCCTTCTTTTTGACGATACCCTTTGGCAACTAAACGAGCCTTATACTTATCTATGGTACCATCCGATCTCAATTTCCTCTTGAAAATCCATTTGTGTCCTATTGGTTTATTTCCAGGAGGCAAATTAACCAATTCCCATGTATTATTTTGCATGATGGATTCTATTTCACTTTGAATAGCTTCTTTCTAATAAGGTGCTTCAGATGATTCTAATGCAGCCTTATAAGTTTGAGGCTTTTCTTCGATTACAAAAGTGAGGAAATTAGGACCAAAATCCTTTGCAATTTTTGCTCTTTTACTCTTTCGTGGTTCCAAATCTTGGCTTTGAACTCTAGAAGTTGAAGCATGATTATCGTCGTCATTTCTTGTAGTAACCTCATGTACTCTTTTGTTCAAAACATATGACCTATCTTTAGAGCACTTCCACCGGAACACCATTAGGCCGGCACCCAGTCAAAAAAGGGGCCGGGACTCAGTCAATCCGCTCCAGCCCGTTCAATTGCTTGGCACCCAGCCCAAGCTGGTCTCCAGGCCAGCCTAGAATTGACAGAGCTAGGGACCGGCCTATTAGCGTGCGTTTTGTGAGAATGGTGCCGAGGAAACGCAAGATGACTGAGCAAGAAGAAAAGCAGTTGGTGGCGCCGGTGAAATCAAGCTGGTGACCCGTGGCGCCAGCGAGGAATAAGGTCAAGGGAGCTCAGAAGAAAAAAGGGCAGGCGAAGAAGGAAGAGGTGGAGGCGGAAGAAGCGGAAGGGGAAGCTGTGAAGGAAGATGAGGACAACTTCGGCGAGAGCAAGGCGGAGGTCGGAAGAGGCGTCCGATATGAGAACACTCTGGTGGTTG